CATACAGAGAATGGGCCATAGGGGATCATGGTGTTAACCCAAGACACCTAAGCAGCCCCTTGCTCACTGGAATCGACAAGACAGGCACGGCTCTCATCACCTCACAGGATCAGTCCTACATGAAAAAATTAAGATCAATATATTGTAGGCCTATAATGAGAAACCAATTTGACTTTGAGATCTCTTTTATTCTCCTATTCCTCTTCAGAAGATTCCTCTCTCATTTAGCATATATATAAAAATTGGAGGCACATACCTTCAGTTTGCCATTAGACCCTTTTAAGAAATTTGAATAATCACTTTCTTCATACCAGAATTTATGCCTCTTAGTGTTGCACAAAAATGTCCCATTCATTATGGAAAAATTCTGTTTTACAGGAAAGACTCCATACGGCAAGTCTGGCTTTGTCTACATTCTCATCAAAGAGATAAAGAAAATACCTTTTCAGAAGCATTACAGTCAACCATTGCATAAATGTTACTGCAATAAGAAGGACTTGTACCCAAGTAGGACTATAGGATCAGGATTTGTAATATGGAAAGGACACAGAATCAGAATTAGGGCATAGGAAAATTACAGTAGATGAAGAGGAGATCAGAGCAAATCAAAGCGAAACAGTCCTCGGCTCACTCTGGCAAATGAATTCCAGTAAACAGGATGCAATAGCCGAGACTGTTCCTATCTATATGTATATACACACTTATGTATGTATGTATGTTTCTATATAATATACAGTATCTATATAAGTGTATATATAGATACACTTATGTACAAATGCGTATTATATATATAAAATCAAAATTGTGTTTTCCCAGCTATCATTAATACCGTAATACTACAAATTGTAAATGATAGAGCTCTTGCAAGTTTTTTTCAGATTAAAAATATTTCAAGCTATTTTTAAATATATAGGACCAGATCCTCCCCTTTACATCACGACTGTTTAGTGAGGTATGCGAGAAAGCTTCATCTCAAACGTGCAGACTTCAAGGCAAGAATATGTCCAGATTTCCCAAGACGGGATGTGGCTGGCGGCTACAATGAATGCCCCATGTCACTCCCCAGGGGTTTGCCTCCTGAATAATTGTCCATAACTACTAGTTAAGACCTCATATTGCTCCCCTGCTGAAGTAGTAGATCGGTGCCTAGCATCATACGACTTGCCAGTGTTGCTTTACTATATCACACCTTCTACTACTTTTAACAGGGTTTTACTTAAGTAGTAATTGGCATTTGTAATTAATAATGAGGTTTACTGATATACATTTTCGAGGTTGCAACTTAGATTCATTATGCCATGCAATATCGCAGCACTAAAGTCTCTGTGAAATGTTCAGTCTTTTCAAGTTCTGTTTTAGTTTAAAGGCTTCATACCTCAATTTCTCTAAAAAATGCTCCAAAGTGCTGGCCAAAACACAGGAAACACGATAAAGAGGAAATGCATGTGCAGCATCTGCATCTGCTACGTCATGGCTCCATTGCACTGCCCTCCAAAGAAATGGAGGCTTAAGGAGGACAAAGCAACAGTTCCTTGAATTATATTGTTTCCCAGCTAAAATCCCTGCGTAAGCTGCTGCATGCTATGCAGAATAACTGTAACTCTTTTGTACAATGGAGAAAAATCTTCCCCGTCCCTGAAAATTTGTTGCAGGTAACTCTCCGTAAACCATTCATTCACACTCTGCACAAAGACCACACACAGGTACATTGGTTTTTTATGCAGAGTCAGTTGCATATTCAAATATTGAAGCTTACAGAGTTCTTGATGATTATACAGGCCCCCTAGAAACATTAAGCTAATATTTATGTATGAGTTGATCAGCTGACCATTACCTAACTACATTAACTGATTGCTACATTAGACTATAGTAAGCAGTTCTGTAAACTTTTGCGGGGAGGGTATCAAGCAATAAAAAACTCCAGGGATAGTTCAAGACAAGTTATTCACAATCACTCCTCCATTCATATCTTCACGATTTTCTCACTAGGTTCTGTTGAATCCACAGCAAAAAAGCAACTGGGGATACATAGTCTCTTTACCTTTTTCTGCACTGAAAGAAGCCTGGGTCAATCAATCACAACTGATATCTCTTCCTCCGTTTTGGCATAGTTTACTATTTTTACATTGGCAAGTAGTTCAAGTACAAATGAATTTCTACAGCACTGATTTTTTTTACATATAATGTAAAATGTAAAATATAATGTAATGTGTAACAATGGACAAGTCTGTATGTTGAAGACAGCATAAAAAAATCCTTAGGTGTTATATTCTTTCTCACCTGTAAAACAATTACCTGTTTCTGGATCCTGCTACACTGGAGAGAAAATATAAACACCTCAACTTCATCATTTCAGGCAAGGATGCATAAAGCTCGTACCTATTAAAATTGACCATGTTAATGTAGGAATAAGCTTACAAGACCATAATAAATGCTTCTCAGAAATAAGGGAGAGGGGAGGAAAAATAATCACAGGCTGCCACACCACCTTAACAAATAATTCCAGCAGTGCCCAGGGTAAAAGTATCACAATGGGACCAAATCCTCTTTATGGTACACCATAAAGAAACATGAGGAAAACAGGAAGGAAAAGATGGAATTTGTTGTTGTCACATTCATCTGTTAGGTATTCATTGACCGTCACTGCTCCTACATGATGAGCATTCATAACAATTAAGAACTCGCATTATTAAATAAAAACAAGTAACCACAAGCCCTATTTGTAATCAAAAATAAAAATACCTTTGAGTCTCTGTTTTGTTCCATATGCAAATGCACACACAAAATTACAAAGAAAAAAAGCAAGCTGCAAGACAAAACGTTGGCTGGTTGAGAAATCAGCAGTCCTTCAATCTTGTACCAAGGTATAAAGGCTATTGGAATTTGTGAATTCCAGAAATTTTGGGGGGGGGGGAAATAGAAGATGCAATGCCAAAAGTATTCAGGAACTAAAAGAAAGGGAACTGTATTATTTGTGGTCCATAAATTACAAATGAAAAAATGAGAAAGAATGAGTTTATATAAGCATATACATATATGTATATATAAATATTTATATTATATAATTTACCATGAGGACATGCAATTATCGGTATAGCACCTATTATACAATATAATACAAAGGAATAGGACTTTCCAATGGTACAGTTTCTTCAGAAAAAGCAGGTATACCCTACCTATTGCATTCATCTGTAGTGCTTGAAACCTGAATGAAATTAAGGTTCCACACTGTGCTACATTACGTATGGGAAACAATATACATATTCATCATAAGAAAAGAAAAAACAAAATCAACACAGTCTGACAAAGCAAGTGAAATTCAGTGCAGCTCTAGGGCAGCTTTAATGCAGCATTAGAATGTATTAGCTCAGAGACAAAATATTCCCTTTTTAATCCAAAGGTCTTCATTTGGCAGAGGTTAAACAAAAAAGCACAGAGGCTGGCTGGAGAGGCATGTGACTACAGCAAGCAGATCAGTAACTGACAAGTCTCCTACGCATCCAGCGTCCCCACAACAGGAATCATTAGGGAGAGCTGGCTGCATCTTTCTCAGGCTTGCCTTCTTGTGTGTTACTATTCTGACCCACTGTTCTCTTCTGAATATAGCAAAAGGTGCTGTACCATTACATTCCCTACTGAGATCCTGCAGAGCACAAGAGGTTATTAAGTAACTACCAAAGTTGGAAGAATTAGACACCATGCACTTTACTGACAGACAACGAAGCTTGGCTACCAAAAAAACCGTTTGAGCAAAAGAATGACGAGAATCCAACATTAAAAATATCTCAGATTGCTTTCTGTATATTTTGCTTTGATGCCTAATATTCTTACCCAGATTTTGTAAGGGTGTTACGTGTATTTCTGTCACATATAACCTACCAAGTTCACAAAGCAGACAATCTCCTCATCTCTGTTTCATCTTTCATGTTTTTATAAAAACAAATGACCAAAAAAGCAAATCTTGGTTGGTAATCATCTCTGCACAGTAAGATCAGTGGTTTAAGTGATCCATAACTAATGGAAAAACAAAAGCCAGCAATAAGAAGGGTTCTTTTTGCAGTTAAGGGAAAAAAGGTACTTCTGTTTGCTGAATTATTTTCTAACATACATTGCAATTTATCGTAAATCTGCAACATTCAGTGAAATGCAGACATGTCCTCCTTGTTCTTGTTTCCTAGGCAGGAACGCTTTTCCAAATTCTACTGAATGCAGTTTGAAGAACCCCACTATGACTCCTGAAGGAGTGTATGATACAGAACTCAAAATTAGCTTCTTGGATCCTAATTTGTACTAAACAATTTTCTAAAGAATATAGCTATAAAAACATCTTGGCAAATGTCAATTTTTAAAATGTCATCAGTGTCAAGAAGGGGCAAAGTATATGACACTTGATTAGGTAGAAAAACTGTGCCGTGGTAGGTAGGGGGACAAAATGAGCACTGAATGACTCAGAGATGTGCGCAGCTCAAAATGGAAGAGACTTACAAGGTAGAAATACTGCGTCTTCTAAATTGTGTGCTTTTTTAAAACTGCAAAGACATGCTTGAGCAGTACTTATCTCCCACGTGGTGACATCATTTTGGGAATAACCATTTCAGGTTTTCTTACATACTCCTCAAGTATGTAAAGCCTTAAACAGGCCAAATCTTCTAGCTAGGCAAACTAAAAACATATAAATACCCTTTTAAAACACTCGCCTTAGAGATGTTTTTTACTCTAACTGCATTGCACCTCTTTGACTATCTAGTCATTCTTTTCCTGGCCTCTACTTCCTCTCTCACAGATCTGCTTGCTGCCTGCTCTTAGGCAATGCCTGGCCACTTATTTACACAGTATGCTTTCTCATGAATGGTTTATGATGCTTACTTTCTTTAAAAAGCGCAGATTCAACACCGTTTTTTTCAATATACTTTTTTTGATTTTTTTTTTAAATACACAGTACACAGACAAAACATGCATCAGATTTAGGAGGAGGCTTTATATCTGTCAAGGCCCAGTTCCTATCTGCTAAGCTTAGTGGTTGATTTGCTCTTTCCTGTGGGAGTCTTAGTGTTTGGGGAATGGTGGAAGGAACTGCCAGATCCTTTCAGACCATTCTTGCTTGGTTTGTTGCAGCAGTGCTCTTGTTGGCAGGATCTCCTAGAAGATGAGGAGCCTGAATGGCTAGGAGGTGATTTACTCCTCCCAAGATGTGGGGATGAACTCCTCTGATCATGATGGGGCCTCCCAGCCCGGGACGGAGAAGAACTGGCAGTACGGGGTAAAGAAGAGCTCCTAGGGGAGGCACTGGGACTGCGTCGGGGGATGACAGGGCTTTTGGGTGGTGTTTTTGGACTATGTGGAGATCCTGGACTCTTACACTGGGTAGAACTCCTTGGTCTTTGAGATCCATTCTGTAGGATTTGAGCCAGACGAGAGATAAGATCTGAGTCCGAGCTGCTACTCCCTAGGACTCTGTATCTGCGTAACCTTAAGAAGAAATGAAGAAAGATTATTTCTGTTCCCATCTATTCACTAAATTCCATACAGAAACACAGTATCACTGGAAACTAGGGCTGAGCTTACACTGCAGAACAGACATCTGGAGCTGAACTTTCCTACAAGGTAGAGGTGTTTGGATCTAGGCTTTGGCTTCTGTGCTGTTCAAATCAACACAGTATTTATATTTGCATAAACTCACTCAGATAAAAAGTGAAATTTCACTGGTGGTGCTGGAAGAAGTGCACTGAAGAACAGCGCTTGCTGCCTCTGTATAGGAGGGGTACATCCATTCCTGCACACCATCAATAGACTCCTATACACAATTCTAAGGGATGACAAGGCACACCACAACTTCCTTCAGAGAATTTCACACTGCTGTTTCAAAATTTTCCTTATCCTGGTAATGTAGGCACTGAAACTAGATCATGAATGCCAATCATCAGAATTGGCAAAGGGGTCTTCTAGAATTCACTCTGCCCTCCTTTAATTAGTTGTTTTTACTTAGCCTTGATCTGAGCATAGCTAACTAACTCAATACTGATGGCTGGAATCTCCAAACCTGAACACTTAAAATTTTCAAAGGGACTGGGCGTGACAGATCCTATTGATTTCTCTGGGTTTGCAAATAATCAACAGTTCTGGAAAAGTGACCCCACTTTAAAAAAAAAGTATAAAGATTTAGTTATAGATTGACAGGTTTCAAAATATTGAATACACATCCATTGATGTATAAGGTTTAATATTGAAGCAGGCTCATTCTTGTGTAACAGCCTCTCCTCGATCATTCTCCAACAATGTAAGATTTCTCAGATAATTGAAGCCCAGCGTTTTTAAAAAAATTAGTTAAAGGACGGAACTTCTACAGGATTAGATACTGCATAGTAACTGCAGTCTAGCTCAAACCCACTTTCAACCTGAAAACCTACTTCTATTTTCTCTGCATTACCTAGCTTCCACCCCAGGTCTAGTAGGCGGTTTTCCTGGTGGTGGCCGAGGAAAGAACTGAGCTGAACTTGAACTGGTGACTTGATCAGTGGTTGCCCAGGACACTGGCCTTGGAATCTTGCTTTTTCTGGACTGAGGGCTGCTTGGAGATAAAGAGCTATCTTCTGTCTGCTTGCTGAAATGCGAGTCCAGTGTCAACCTAGAAAATGAGGATAAGACATCATCCTCAGAAAACGGTACTGGAGTAGCAGCCATTTTTTCCTCCAGTGACTTATCAGAGGCACTTGAGAGGTCACCAAGGAAAGATTTGAGCTGTCTCTTTTCCATAAGTAGTCTGACCAAGTCCGTCTGATGGGCCTTTTTTAGAAGCAGCTTTTCCTTTGCTGAAACAGGAGAAGAGGACTCTGACGTTGAGTCTATCTCTTGTGCTAAAACTGGGATTCGGCTCTGCCTGAATACAAAAGGAGATTTAACTAAGTCCTTCTTAGATCGATGAGAATTCTCATTTTCTGAAATGCAGTGGAATAGCTCTCCATTTCTGGGAGCATTTTTCTCTTTTTTGTCCTCCTGGTGCAAAAAAGTAGTAAGGGCCACTTGGTGGCATTTCAAGTCTTGGATATGGACTTCTTCCTTAGTAGAATGAAAACCATTTTCCTGAACTGGTGCTATTTTGCTTGCCTGTCTATTTACATGTGGTTTGGTAAATCTTGAGGGAGAAAATTCTGATGTTTTAGGTGCTATCAATTTCAGAACCTCATCTTGATTTGGCACCAAACAGACGGGCCTTGGCTTTGATTCTTCAACAGCTTCATTATTCATTAGAGGTTCTTCCTCTGCAGATTTTGAGTCTCCTGGCAAAGAATTATGTTCTTTGCTTAGCATTTCAATAGCGTCTTCAGAAACCACTGGAAGCCTTTCTTCCTCAGCCTCCTCTACAGGAATATTTTCAAGTTCTTTCTCTTCCTGTATGCCACTGTGTTGTTCAGGTAGGTCCTTTTGGCCACAGTCCAGGACATTGACACATTCTTTGACAAGTCCTTCCCTGTCAAGCACCTCTTGGCTGATATTAAGTACCAAATCTGGTCTGCTGGCACTAGCTGGAAGTGCATCTTCTGTCACAACCAAACCTGGCAAGCTTTCCTTTGGAGAGGAAAGTTCCACGGTGTGTTCCATAGACTGAGCATCCTGCTCTCTTTTCTCTAGCTGGTGGCCATAATGAAAGCTCTCTGAAGCAGACTGTGTGGATGCCACTGAAGGTCTGGGTATTGTTATCTGCATTGGAAAATTAGAGAAGGAAAAGGTGAGAAACTCGGGAAAGTTATACAGATAACATTCTTCAAATAGCATTTTGATTCCACGTCAGCAAGATACATTATATAATGATTCCTGTGAATCACATTGTTCAAATAATACCTAATTTCACCAATTACATCTAGATAATATGAAAAAAAATAACTCTATCACCCCAAGACAGAAATGTGTAACAAGTAAAAACAAACAATCTCAGTGAAAAAGGTAGCAATTACCGAGTAACCCTCCTGGAAGTGAGATCCAGCCTAACAGGCAGGCTTTTTATTTATTTTACATTAGTTTGAATACTCTTAGAATAAGTTGTCTATAAACGTAAAATCTTTAACAAGTACACAACAATATTTTTGGACAAGTACAGAAAACAAAGAACACAGTGAGGTCCAGAATCAGGAATGGACTTAAATTTCAGTTTAGGCAGATTTTAGATACTTTGTTAACAAAACAATTAATAAAAACTTTATTTACCTAATTAAATACATCCATACCCATAAAACCTACATTTTTGTCCAGAAAAACTTTCCTGAGTACCCAAATTTTAGCTATTACCTTCCCTATAGACTTTCATGCCTCATTTTAACTAAGCAACCTGGTTAGGACATCTCCTTACCTAAGGTCATTAAGAGACTCACAAACTAAATAGTCATGCATCTAAATCCCTTAATGAGTCTAATCCAATAGGTATGCTAAAACCTATATATAGTATTGAGTCAGAGTCCCTTTGAAAAACAGATGATTATGAGGAGCGCTGCCTCTAGTACATAGCTTAATTGTTAGAGCACATGTCCAGGAAATGGAAAACCTGCATTCATGTCTCTCCCCACCTGAGGGCCATCAGCCATCTTCCCCCAGTTCCCATCAAGTATGGACAAAACCGGAATGGAGTTACTTCTCACCTTTCCTGTTGAAGTCAGGCCACCGCACAGACAGAAATGCAAGAGTCATGAGGTCAGAGGGTGAAAGAGCACGCAAAAAACTGAGAGGAGTTTTACCTCTACGGCCAAGGGAGGAATGCACTCTCATGTGAAGAGGAGTCCTAAGTTCTGGTTTATACATATTTGAGTCATTTGAGTCATTTGGTAAAACGTATAAACAGTAAAAAATCAAGGGGCTACCCTTACATCTTCCTCTACGAGGATCGAGAGTTCAGCTCCTTTTCCCCTTCTATTCTTTAGCCTCATGAATCTGACACAGTTTCAGTTTGTAATACTCATGAGAAAGTGGAAGACTGGAGTTTGGGTTTGGACATAAAGACTCCCTTGATGCACTGATGGTAGAAGAGACAACTAGTGGTAGCCTATTTCAAGTGTTGCCAGGATTCTGTTATGTTACAAGACAGATTTCACTTGACCTTGTTGCAGAAATTATACATGCTGCTGAGCTTAACTGGCTTTTCCAAGAGCAAGTATATTGGTACTACTGGGTGGAACCAAGCTCATCTGTCAGGACCCACAACAATGTATAGTGTGTACTCAAACTTTACAAATGCAGAACAACTGTCCAAAATAAGAAATGGGAGCTGACAGTGAAGGAGATATGCTCAGATTTCCCATGAGGGTATAATGGCTTCATTGAAATTCTTGCTGATTTCTTTTTCTTTTTTTGTGCTTTCTTCATAGACCCATATAACAAGATTTCCATCATTATGGGTGCACATTTACCTCCATGAAACACAAACATTCAACTGATATTATAAACAGTTCACTAGAACAAAACATGAAACACAAATCACATGCATAAAGCTGAATTAAAGTGAGGACAATTATTTATGTTAAAGAAATTATTTCTATACTATAAAATGTATTCTCTAATTTACCTAATGCAGTTTTTGGACCTTCACCTAAAAATGTGGAATAATATTTTTTGAGAAATTTGGAATGAAATTTGGAGAAAAGATTTTCTTAGTTTTATAAGTAGGATTAGCTGTTAGGCTACAGAAAGTGGTATTTTTCATGGGCGGGGTGGGTGGGCATGGGGACTGGAGGAAGAGCAGAAATGTAAGATAATTGAACTCTTGTTTTCCCAAGTAGACCTAAGCTGTTGGTAGCATCTTCCCCAAGTTGAGATTTATTGAAACAGGGGAAAAAAAAAAATAAAAAAAATAAAAAAAAACCACTGAGACCTGCAGCAAGAGGCTACTTTTTGTCTCCCTGAAAATATGTTTTCAAATTTGGGCCAATACAGTCCCTACAAGTTTGCTGAATTAAAATGGTACATTGAGAGTCAAACTGAAGTTACTTAGTTTTGGCAAAACAGTCCTCCTCATCTCCTCTTGCTCTCAGTCTAGGTTCTTTCCTCTGAAAGAAACACTACTTCCCTTTTGAGTTAGAGAAGTCTTTCTTGCTTCAAAAGTTTTCTTGTGAGAGAATCCAAGAAGATCAGTTCAGCTACAGAAAGAACAGAGGAAATAATAGAAATTTTTTAAAAAGCACCTTTGCATGATTAGGTGAATTAGTACCTAAATCTTGCGTGTTAAATAAAATGGTTTAGCAAGAACTCTGCAGAGCAAGGAAAAGGGATAAAACCGGAGAAAAAAAAAAGTAATAAAAAAGGTCTAGGAAATAGGACAGCTATTCCATATGTTTCCATACATCTCTAGGAAGTTCCTCTGAGGTGACACGTTTCCAGGTATCATACACTGAAGGACTTGCTTTCATATGACAGAAGAACATATTTTGGCCTGTCACACAAAAATCATCAGATCTCTTAGAAATTCTCAACTACAAGCTGGGTAAAAGGAAAGGCTCAGGAAATTTTAATGCAGCATTTTCCTTAGAAAAACAGGTTCAGATTTTGGAGAGATCACCTGGACGTTTGCTGTTCACTGAGCTCTGTCTTCAGCTTGTTTCAATACCTTGTTCTCCAGGGCTGCAGACAGTCCCCAAAGTAAGGAAATCTGGTAAAATACTTCATTTTCCAAACTTTTAACTTGATGAGCTACTCTGGTTGCCAATTCAAATAACGCATGAACCAAAAAAACAGAGTTGTCTTCTACATATATGAAGAAGAATGGCTTTCCTTAGAATAGAATAGTTCTGGTGTCCTCTCAATTTTCAGAGGTAAGACAACCTTAGTTACTTTCTTTTAGGAGGCTATTTATCTTCTTGGTACATTTCCAGACAGGCTGCAATTGCATTTAAGTCCTCCTTTGCTCAAATATGTTTACATGGAAACTTTCTTTTCCTTGTGACCTCTCTCTCACATGTCAATTCTTTGTTAGGTGACAACCAGCTCTGATCTGACATCTGTTTACATTTTTCAAGAGACTTCATACCCTTTAGCACATCTGGAGAGAGAATTTCCTAGTCTTTCAGGTCTATCTTGCCCAGCCCAGATTTAATCCTTACACCCAAGAAACAGAAGAGAAAGCTTGTTGGACAACCTACAATAGAACAGGCAGGAACTAATTGTGAAAGAAAAACACTGAACAAATGGAGGAGAGAAAACGATACCGGATGACTATGTATCATCAAAGACTCAGTACGTATGAGTAGTTCACAGTTTCAGAAATGGCTTTTTGAGCATACATATCACTTTCTTATTTGTGTTCACTAATAAACAAGTTCGTTTTCTCAGATGGTCAATAATCCTCTTATTCTTCTTCTCAAAGCACAAGAATTAAGTTATGTCCCCACTGGGCTTGACATTTCACCTATATGTGCAGGAAATTTAAATGGGTAATTATGTAGAAATGCCTTTCATGCAAGGTTGCTACAACTTCAGGTGCAGCTTTAAGAGAGAAAGAAAAGAGCAAGACCAATTTTTAAAAAATCTGGGAACGTGTATAAGAAAACAGAACTTTTATAGAACTGAATCCTGCTAAATCGTAGAATGGTTTGGGATGGAAGGGACCTTAAAGATCATTTAGTTCCAACTCCCCTGCTGTGGACAGGGAAACAAATGCTTTCATTTAGAAGAACTTGGATGTAATAGTCAATTACTGAAGGAGTGGAAGAAGCTTGTAGATGATCCTCCTAAGGCTCCTTATAAGATTTCTTTGGGTAAAGCATCAGCTTCTCTACAAGGCTGGCCACTACAGATAACGTCATGATTCACATTACGCAGAATTCTAAGTAAAAAGACTGGAGGAAGTTTTGAATCCCTTAAAACAATTAAAAAATATATAATCCTGTAGCCTTAATAATCCCATAGTCTTCTCACTCTCTTGTTTGTGAAACCTTGCAAGGCAGAAGTCACAATGAAGGAGTCTGAGGAGGGCTGATCCTGAGATATGCAAAATACACCAATTTAAATTATCATTTAGTCTAATTCAGGGAGACAGAAATCTCAAGGTTGTTCAATACATATCTAGTTACAAAACAAATAATACATGGACTAATTGTAAAATTTAAAAAAAAATCCACCATAATAATAAATAATCCTCATATTTTCTTTTCTTCTGCCACTAATTAAAATCTTATCTTATGAGATTTCTATGGCTAATGATGTCAATTTTGTAAAACACTGAACATGAGGAACAAAGATTATGATGTGATGGGGGCAATTCATCCAAGAAGAAAAATGAGGGGAACCAAATTTAAAATGCTGCATCTCAGCTCACTATGATAGTCAATTTATAACACAATCTACCCAATCATCATAATTCCCATACTCCAACAGAAGTTATGTGATACAGCAGATTACTGAAAACGGCTCGGACAATATATGGAACACTGAATTTGAGGCTGTCCTTTCGCTCTGAAATATTTGAATGAAATTATTACCACCACAGTCTTGAATTGTTTGGCCTTCCCTAAATAATTTCTTAATTCCTCTCAAATTAGCACTTGAACAAGACAAGAAATTAGACTGCATTTTCTTGAAGAAACTACAAGATGGTGAGTGGGATGTTAAGGAGGAAAAAAGAACAAAACAACATCAACAACATAAATACCTCTTGGACATCCTTTATGATATCCGACAAACTTTCCTTCCTTTATACCTTTGACAGGCTGCAATAGCAA